GAAACTGGTCCAACCCTAGTGGTTTAAACAATGCAGTTAATTTTGAAAATTTTGTATTATACGGCAAAAAAAACAATTATCAAAACCCTATAAAAAAATCTCTTGAAATTGTTCGGAAATTATCCAATTTTTTGTTCAGAAAATCGACTCCGTTCCGAACATTTTAAAGGATGTTAATTGGATGTTTATGTTTTTATATATTTTTCATAAATTTTTTATGCATTTTTTATACGATAATTTTTAATCAAAAATTTTCTATTTTTACATCCCATACAAACATCGATATGAAAACAGTACAAAAATAAACCCTGTTTGAAAAATCAACTTGGTTCCAAAGACACTCAGTCCTGCCATGTGATTATTTAGACTAGTTTCGGATTGGTTCTGAACGGTCCCTAAAATGTCCAGCCAGAACCGGTCCGGACCCGACCCCTGCGGACTACTTAATATCCCTAAAATTCATAATATTTATCATTATTTATTGTAACAAAGATGAATTGATGCCTAAGCTTAATTTTTGAAACTTTTTAATAAATTCATAATCAGTATTTATAAATGGTATTTCCAATATTGTATTGTATAATTTTATGTATTATTATCATTTGAATTGATAAATTAATTATCTAAATAAAAAATTCACCATTCAAACATTTTTCATTCCAAGTCGAGTTCTATATAAATAAGTAATAAATTTTTCTCTAAATGAAAAATATAGTTATATAAGCGTGATCTTTTATGTCAGAATTTAAAATTATGTCAAAAATTAATAGTTCACCATCTAAAGAATATGAGTCTAACAGCACAGATAAATTAGCTCTTTCCGCACAATTATACACAGAAAACGATTACATTCGTAAAGAAGAACATGAGTCTAACAGCATATCAGTTCAAGATAAATTAGCTCTTGCCGCGCAATTATACACAGAAAACAATTACGTTCGTAGTTTGAACTTTTTAAACCAAATTATTGAAGAAATTAGAGATGATAAGCAAAGGAGAGTGGCCGAACATTATATTACTCTATGCAAAAATAAGCTAAAAGAAAAATAACCTATTTAAAGACAAGTTCTATAGTAAAGCCAATCAGATTGCAAGAACTACATGTTTAACACAAAAATAGTTTAATAGTATTAATAGTGGTATTAATAGTGTATCAGTTTTTGTCGGTATGATTTTTAAATTCGGTTGATTTTTTTATTTAAAATTTAATAAAGTGAGAATTTCGCCTAACGACATTTGAATTTCACATGTTAGACGTTCCAAAAGTTTTTTACTCATTTCATAGATTTCTTTTGTTAAAGAATTTACAATCTGTTTTTTTAATTCAAATAAACTAATTTTGCTTAATAAAATTACATCTTCATTTTCTGTTGAAACGTCTAAAAATTTAGTAGTATTATCAGATTGTTGAATTAAAAAAAAATTGAAAAAACAACACTTACTATAATTTGTCAGGATTTTTTTGATTTCATTGATTAATGCATTTATTTTTTTCATTTCATAGTTTAAAAGGTTAATTTTTAATTGAATTTCTTTAGTAATGTTAATAGTCAAGTTTATTTCATTTCCGGGTGTTGATCGAATATCTATAAACAAAGTATTAAAATTTATTAAATCTACACTCATCAAAATCGATTTAAATTTTCATTACTGCATTACAATTCTTGATCAATGTTTGAGAATCGTGAATCCCATTATTCAACAAATTTAACTTGAATTCGAACTGATCTTTGATTAGTTTCA